ATGATTTAGGTACACACTCTTCTTACACACTCCTACACACTATAAAAAGGCTTAGTTTTTTACCTTCTTTTCTCTTACGATTTATCCTCTCTCCCTCTTCTCCCTATCTTGTCTTCTTTCTTTTACGATCTCTCCTCCTCTTCTCCATTTCTTCTTTTAATTTCCACTATTCTTCTTTTGTTTCTCTCCTCATTCTTCTTCCTTTGTTTCTTCTTGCACCAACCAACACAAAAGGTCGACCCTTTTAGCCACCAACGCCCGTTCATTTTCCCTTGTAGCCCCGTAATCCACTCTCCTCAAGTTTGAGACCAACCAGCGGCGTGGTTGCAGCGAGAATCGATGCACACGACGAGGGTGAGATACTAAGATGGTCGATTTGTGCTGCTCGAACAAGAAGGTCCGATCAAACAGTCCATAATATTGAGGTAAGAATCTATTTCGATTTCTCTATATGCATTTTAGGGTTGCAGTTATTTAAAATTTTCGTTTTTTGTACATTATGTATAGTTTAACAATTAATAGTTTATTATTTTGTGTTATTGTAAGAGAATGTAGTGTTAGTTGTTGAGATTTTAGTTCAAATACTATATTTTAAATTTATGCTCATAACTCATAAATTTATGCTCATAAAATTTTGTGTTTGTTGAAATAACTTAATGATTTTTCTTAAATCCAAAACATTTACTCTCCTTTTTTGTTAATTTGTTCAAGATTCTAATATTCTTATTTCCCAATTTAAATAATGATGATATAGTTATTTTTATTGACTATTTTATTTCATTATTATGCTTTTCCTAACTTGTTAATGAAAGTTAGCCTCTAAAACAGGATTTAATTGACAAAGCCAGGGCAACCATGGTTTGGAATTCAAGCTCATGCTGGTGTACCTATCACTGATGACGATAATGATCCAGCATTTCCTAATTTTAACCAGATTATTGATGAATGGACAACTCATGTAAGAGCTGGGGCAGATAATGAGAACCTGGAGTCAGTCTCTGAGGATGTAAATGACCTTCTATTTTCAGCAATTGTCCCTGATAACTGAGCCTGTATTTCATGTGGTTTGAGCTAGTATGGATGGAGAGGTGACATCCCATTTTCTGGTTTGGATCTTAATGCAGAAAAGAAGTCATTTCATCTTTATTATGTATAGCCTGGTCATGCCATTTCTAATATGAAACAACATTTATTTGTGAAATCTTGCTTGAATATTATATTAAGTATGCCAGAAAATATCGGCGGTGGTGATTTGGACGTTGTTATTGTTCTGCCAGGCCACCTCCTACCACAGAAGAAAGTGAAAGCTCTGAAGAAAGTATATAAAATCATATGGACATGAGACTATTTAGTGATTAGAAGTTAAAGCATTCTTGTATTGTAACTTTTGCCATTTGCGGATCTGGTGATTATTTTGGCTCACATGTATTGTATAGTTGTTGAAGTTTATGAATTCTGTTTAGATTTCTTGATGTAATTTGATATACTTTTAGAAGTATGTAATGAAGGCAAAGTGTACTTTTGTATTCATTGAAAAATTAAATTGTTAATCTTATACTCATTTTGGTGACTTGTTATATGTAATTTGCAATATAATGAACATTATTAGATTTGGAAAAAATGGATAAAACTTGTTTGTCTGTGATTTGTATCCACTTTGTACACTATAATATCTGTCACAAACACATTGCGTGTCTGTGAAGAACAAAAACTCTGTCTGTGATGTGTGGCGTATTTGTCTGTGCTATGTACACTATAATATCCGTCACAAACACATTGTGTGTCTGTGAAGAACAAACACTTTATCTGTGATGTGTGGCGTATTTGTTTGTGCTATGTATTTGCTAGGACTTAGTTTGAATTAAAGAGTTTTTGAGAAAAAACATTTTAAAAAATTGTTAAAGTACCCTATAAGATCTGTCCCAAACACATTCCGTGTATGTGAAGCAGAAAAACTATGTCTGTGAGGTGTGGCATATTTGTCTGTGCTATGTACACTACAATATCTGTCAGAAACACATTGTGTGTCTGTGAAGAACAAACACTCTATCTGTGATGTGTGGCGTATATGTCTGTGCAATGTACACTATAATATCCGTCACAAACACATTGTGTGTCTGTGAAGAACAAACACTCTATCTGTGATGTGTGGCGTATTTGTCTGTGCTATGTATTTGCTAGAACTTAGTTTGAATAAAAGACTGAGAAAAAACATTTTAAAAAAATGTTAAAGTACACTATAATATCTGTCACAAACACATTGCGTGTCTGTGAAGCAGAAAAACTCTGTCTGTGAGGTGTGGTGTATTTGTCTGTGCTATGTACACTATAATATCTGTCACAAACACATTGTGTGTCTGTGAAGAACAAACACTCTGTCTGTGATGTGTGGCGTATATATCTGTGATATGTATCTGCTTTTGTATAGTTTGAATAAAAGACTTTTTGAGGAAAAAACATTTTAAAGACTGCCATGCACATTTACATCAAAATAAGATTTAAATCTAAACCAATACAAAAACAAAAAAAATCTAAATCACTACAATTCATCATGTCATTACGTCCCCCTGTCCATTGCCATGCTGAGAGGTCGGTTGTGGGGTACTTGCATTGTCGGTCCTAGCACATGATTTTTCTGCCGCCAGCCAAATATTATCAGGTTGCTTCTGTGTTATATACTACAAACCTTCTGCAGGTGTACCTTTTGTCTTGACTCATGGATGTGTACATACCCTCGAGTGTCCATATAATGCAGCTTGACCTCACATGCAGCTACTTCCATGTTTTAAAAGCATCACCTTGCTTTTCAGATGAACCTAAAACTGCTTTAACAATTCAGTAGTTATTGGCATCATCCATCAAGGAAACCCAGTTACAACAATTGGAGAATGAAGCATAAAAACATATTAGCAAAAAAGAGAATGAACTCACAAAATTGTGTATATGAATAAATAAAATCACTGAAATATTTCAAAAAACACCTTATGAGTATAAAAGTGAAATAGAAAAGTTTAAAAAAAATTAAATTATTGACATCACAAATCTCTACGAATATAACAAAAAATATGAATAACATTTAAAATCCATCAACAATAAAACATATTAGCAAAAAAGGGGAATGAACTCACAAAATCATATATATGAATAAATAAAATCATTGAAACATTTCAACAAACACCTTATGAGCATAAAAGTGAAATAGAATAGTTGAACAAAAATTTATATATTTACATCACAAATCTATAAGGATATAGCAATGTAAATAAGCATTCAACAATATAACAAATATTATAAACATAAAGATGAAAAAACAGAAACAATTGTGACCCTAAATGCACAAAAAATGGAATAAATACCTCACATGAACAAGAAGGTTTTGGGAGAAGAAAAGCACATTCACAATGGGAACAGTAGCCACTCGTAAATCTCTATGCCACTTGAAATCTCCAGGATTTGAGAGAGCTCTTTATAATGAAGAAGAGAGAAAGAAAGGGGAGAAAAGAAAGAGACAGAAGGGAAGGGGCGTAGGAGGAGAGGGAGAGAAAAGGGTAAAGTTAGTTGTGAAATGGTAAATGTAAAAATAGTATTTATAGTGTGTATTAGTGTGTAAAAGGAGTATGTATCTAAAGCATTTTTGTACCCCGTAATTCATTGACTACAAATATCTTAATTCAATGGGAAAAGGGGCAAAAACACCCATGAAGTTGTCAACAAGGAGGATTTATGCCCACAAACTTAAATTTTGAGCAAAAAACTTTAACAAACCTGAAAATAGGGCAAAAAGCCCCTTTGACTTACGGAAACAACTTATTATAACGATCCATCCTTTAACTTGCTCACTTGGCTATTCATTATACCGGCCGTATAAAGGAAAATGGGAAAAAGGGAACATACTAAATTAATTTATCTTTATTTGAACAAATAAACACTAGAATAATTCATTGGTTTGAGATTTATAATACTTATTCCATATAAAATCTTAATTTTATAATGTTTAATTTATATTTAGGATGTTTTTACTTGGACTATTTTAGTCTCAGACCAGACCAGACCAGACCAGACTTAAACAAATCACACCAGATCAAACCAGACCAAACTTGACTTCCTTAGTTATAAAATACACAGAGACCAAATGTTATCCAGATAAGACAAGTTCAGACCAGACCAAACCAAACTTAAACAATTCTCAGACAATGTAAAGTGAATTCAAACGAGTGAATTTCTCAAATATGAGTAAAATAATGTCTTTCCACAAAACTCTTCCTGGTGCGGAGGAGATTATTTAAAAAGTAATGATAAATGTGTATCTCTTAAACTCTTTATCTTCAAATAATTTGATAAAATGTTATATATCCTCTTTTATTTTCAAATAATTTTTATTTGATTTGCGATTTCTTACGCTTTAATGTATCAATACTTTTTTCTAGAGGACTTAATTATAAAATCAAAGATATTTTTCTATAGTCTAAATTTAGAATCTAATAGATTTAAATATCGCCGTGTACGAATTAATGGAATTTGTTTTTGAAATTAAAAAATAGCCGCATTGCCCTGTAGTAGCGAAAAAGTTTCGCCCCTTTGACTTAAAATTCTGCATCTGTTACCGCCTATTTGTGCAATTATGTTTAGGTTTAGTCCTGTTTTGGATAATTTCTCAATTCAAAGTACAAATAGTGATGTGATATTAATATTACACATTCATTTAGTTCCGACTTTTTTAAAAACAGATTATTAAACAAGTAAAAAATTAAATTATTCTAGCATTAGAACTAATATAAATTGTACCATCTATAAAAACTCGAAACATAATCTAAATCTAAAATAAATATTTTTTGGGCGAGCACATATGATGATTTGGGGATCAAAATCATCCTGGTTTTTTTTTCAATGCATCACAAGCTACACTTTTAAAGAAACAATATAAAACATAGCACACTAACATACGGAGTATTTGTTTTATATACTGCCTGTATAAAGCCAACCGAACAAATTTAAGGGATGCATGTTTTGTTAACTTACTTCCGGTAGTTCAAGGGGGTTTTTGCCCTCTTTTCAGGGTTTTTAAAGACATTTGCTCAAAAATTAAGTTTGTGGGCATAGATCTCCCTTGGTGGCAAGTTTAGGGGTGTTTTTGCCCCTTTTCCCTAATTCAATCATCCAAAGGCTACGGAGGATAACAAATCAATAAGTACATCACAATTTCTAGAACTTCACATATCTTTACAAATCCGAAATGGACAAAGCAAAATTGTTCTGAATCATATCTAACAAACACAGGCAAGAATCCTCAAAACGGGTTAATTCAAAAGATCCCACAAGATGTAGAACACAATCCGGTAGCCGCTCTTCCTTTACAGGCGTTCTGCAGATGCGGTCTGACGTCGGACAGCCGGACGGGCTTAAGACAGTACTCCTCGGCGCCTTCCGACAGGCAGGTGTTGATCCGGGCAGGAATATCCTCCGACGACACAATGACGACGGGGATATGCTTCAAAGCAGAGCAGCCCTTGATCTCCCTCAACAGATCGTAGCCGGTCATTCCGGGCATGCTGTAATCGGAGATGATCAGATCCGCCCCCACTTCATTCACAACCCGCAGAGCCTTCGCCCCGGAATCCACCACCGTCACTTTCACATTGTCACCGGAGCATGCTTTTAGGATCCTCTCAATCAGTTTCCGGTCGACGATGCTGTCGTCGACCGCCACAACGTGGAATTGTTCACACTCTATATATGCCATTGTTGATACACGAAGAAGATTTGATTCAATTGATACAAGAAGAATATAGATTTTGGGATTGAAATGTGAGAGAATTGGGAACGATGTGCTGTTATTTATAGATGAATGAATCAAAGATGTGATTTGGGTGGATATTTAACTTAATTCGGAATAATAGATTGGATTAGATATGCGGGTGGCGCGACGAAATAGAAAATGTGAGGCGAATACGGAGGATCGGGGCAGATATACGTAATCAAATCTGGAAACATACGGACTGTATACGCTCCGTATCATTTAATTTGAATGTGATTTGGACAGGCAGATATCGACGTGTCCCATTGATAATAAGAAAGGCTGTACCGTGCTGGCCGGTTGCCAAGTCAATTAGCGGCCGCCCCGCGACTTTTCTTCTTTATTTGACTGGTGTAATTTGTGCTATCACCGTACTACTACTTCTTAATCACTGTGTAACTAGGTTTGACCTAACATCCTCGGGTTAACTATCTCGTTTAATAGAGGTGGCATTACATGTACGTCATGAATTCTAGCGTGTCGCGTAAGTGAGAGAGTACCACAAGGGTTAGATTTCGGGTTTGAATTTCAGCAACTGCGATAAGAGGTTTCTATGCTAAAAAAATGCATAAGGCCTCTGTAAGTACCAAGAACAGAACCTCACTCTCTATGATCTGTCAGATTGTGATTATAGTTCAATTTACATCCTCCCAATGTACCATCCAGTCGGTGTTGGTGGTCCTCAGGGATGGGGTGTCATCCCTTTTTTATGTATTCCAGCGTGTCGAAATTAATGGCTAATTTCCTTAGGTTTTATTATGCAGAAGAACAATATTTATGCACTTAGTTACATGTAGGGCAGAGCACGGGTCAGAGTCGGGCGAGGCGGGTTCAAAAGTTGTAAAGCTGTTTGGTTATCGAATTGATAATTTCAAACTCTATCCTATCAAAAAAATTATCAGGTTTTTTGGGTTGAAGAAGTTCGGGTTGCGGTCAGGTTGATTCAGTTTCGGGTCCATTCAAATTTTAATTTATTATTGTTGAAATTGTGATAAATAAAATGGGACTCCCTTCGTCCCTTAAAACTTTATCAAGTTTGACCGGCACATAGATTAATAAAGTAAAAACTGTGTGGTAGAGGTTTGTGGAGAGAAGAGAAAATTAACTGGAACCACAAATTCTTTACTTAAAAGGGAAGGTGACAAATTTAATGAGACAGTCAAAAAAAAGAAAGTTGACAAAGTTTTAAGGGACTGAGGGAGTGATTGGTAAAAAAATCATTCAAAGTTATATTTGTATAATATTCAAAGCAATAGTTGAATAAATGCGGTAATCGACATATTTGAACATGTAAAATAATAATATACATTGATTAACATATTTGATATTGTGATAAATAAAATGATAATTGATCAAAATATAATTCAAAGTCATAACAATACAACATTCAAAGTTATAGTTGTATACGACAATTGGAATATTTGAACAAGCATAATATGGTAATTGACATACAATTATTATGATATTTGAACATGCATAATAATTCAAAGTAGTGTATATACTACGCTAGTTCGGGTTTTTCGGGCGGGTCGGGTATCATTTTTAAAACCCTACCTGATATCCGTTAACGTTAAAGATCAAGGTTTGCAATTTCGGATTGGGTAATCGGGTTCGGGTCATCCAACCCGCTAAACGTACCTCGGGTATATCCGACCGGTTTTTCGGGTGGGATCGGGTTTCACTCTCCCCTAGTTACATGGGCCCGTGGGCTACTAATGATACACCATAATACACACTAATTACATGCTAAGACCCCGAAAATAATATTCCAACACCCCCCTTAAATGGGAACATGCGGACTACAAATGCCCAATTTGAAAAGAAGAAACAAAAATTGCTGTTGAACGCGGGAGGAGACCTCTTGAGGGTTAATCAGACCATCCTGTACAGCATTACGCAAATAGTAACAATCAACCTCGATGTGTTTGGTACGTTCAAGGAACACCGGATTCTAGGCAATATGAAGAGTAGACTTACTATCACAAAATAGGGGCATGCGACGAGAGTGAGTGATATTCAGGCTAGATAAAAGACCTTTAAGCCATTATAATTTCGCTGTTAAAGAGGCCATAGAACGATACATGAGAACCACCAAGAAACACCAGCCAACCAGTGAGTGAACGACATGTAAGCGGACAGCTAGCCCAGACAGAGCCACACCAACCAATAATAGTCAAGTCACAGGTAAAAGTAAGTAGAATACCTTACTAGGGACATCCTTTTAGATAACGGACCACTTGAAGCGCATCATCCCAATGTTCCCGTCGTGGGTTCTGCATGAACTATGACCATATATGCACTGCATAAGCTAAGTTAGAACGAGTGAAAGAAAGGTAAATAAGACGACCAACCGGATGCCTATAGGATACCAGATTAGTTAACAAGTCGCCCATAGCCAGTGCTAAAGAGTGTTTTTGTTCCATAGGGAAAAACCAGCGGGCCTCGCACCAAGAAGACCGACTTCAGCTATAATGTCAAGTGTATATTTACGCTGACAAAGGAAAATACCATCTGCATTACAAGTCACCTCAATACCAAGAAAATATTTAAGTACACCTAGATCCTTCTTGTGAAAACACGTGCCCAAGTATGTTTTACAAATAGACAAAGTTGCATAATCATTACCACCAATATTAAGTCACCAACACAAACAAATACATTTAAATTTATGGCTCCCCTACGCAAAGTGAACAACGAATAATCAGAATAGGACTGAGTAAATCCATAAGACTTGAGAGAGGCAGCCAACTTAGCAAACCACCAACGTGGAGCTTGGCGCAACCCATATAAGGATTTCTTCAAACGACAAGCAATTCCAAGACCAGGACGCGAAAGAGAAAAGCCCGGTGGCAGCTTCATGAACACTTCCTCATCGAGATCACCGTGGAGAAAGGCGTTATGCACATCCACTTGATGAATCTCCCAATTTCTAGCAGTGACAACCGCAAGAAATGCTCTAATGGTAACCATCTTTGCTACGGGAGCAAAAGCCTCTGTATAATCAATGCCCTCCTCTTGGTGATTACTTAAACAACAAGGTGAGCTTTGTGGCGCTCAATGGCCCCATCCGAATTATATTTGATTTTGTAGACCCATTTACAACCAAGAGCCTGTTTTCCTGGCGGCAAATGTGCCATGACCCATGTATGATTATCCTCAAGTGCCCGAATTTCGCTCTGTATAGCATCCCGCCATCCGGAATTTGTCATGGTCTCTTTAAAAGAACGTGGCTCCATACCTGCAAGTATAGCCCCAAGAAACGCACGATGTCGAGGGGAGAATTTTTTACAGTTCACATAATGAGCTATAGGATAATGCGTACTTGAGGACGAAGATGGGCTTATTTTTTGTACATGGTGTGTAACAAAGTCACGTAATAGGACAGGGTGCGCTTCTCACATTGACCACATCCAAGTTGCGCATCCACCGGAGGAGTAACAAGAGAAATACTACCTGGAAGACTGGTAGAAGCCGTATCATTGGGAGTATTTGTAACACCGTCCCCAATTATATTTACTTTTATGTAAATCATGTATTGAACCTTATGAAATGGTTAATGAATTTACGAAGTTGAAAAGTTTTGTTTTTACTTGTGCATGAATAGTGAATTGCACGTGGGGCCCACATCGGGGGCGGGGACCACCCTATATTTCTGGGACCACATATTATATTCATCATGGAGACTCAAGGACGGCGGTACTGTACTCAAACCTCGGTATATAAACGGTTGAGACCCAAGGACAATGGTACTGTCCTCAAACCTCGGTATATAAATGGTGGAGACCCAGGGACGACGGTACTGTCCTCAAAACTCATATGTATAAATGGTAGAGAATCCAAGGACGACGGTACTGTCTTGAAACTTGTATGTATAAATTGATTTGGATCAGGAGGAGTCCTATACACTTATAGGATATGGGTGGGTTGAGATTTAAGTCAAGGAGTAGTCCTATACACTGATGTCTGCCGAAATTCCTCATCATCATAAACACATGGAGTTGTCCCAACCATTGTAGGTGACTTAATCAACTACATCTCTATCTCTCCATGTGGTAGGATTACCCCGTTCATAATTATACACCTTCCAACCCCTTTTTCCATTAGGATAGCCAAGAAAAAACACAACGTATGCAGCGTGGAGTAAATTTATCACCTCGTGATTGATGAGTATAGGCAAAACATAAACATCCAAATACTTTCAAGTGCAAAAAATGAGGCGCAACACCGCTAAGAACTTCAAACGGGGTTTTATTCTTCAGCAGACCAGATGGAGTACGATCAATCAAATAGACAACAGTCAACACACATTCTCCCCAAAAATATATCGGGAGATTGGCTTGAAATATCAAAGCACATTCACATTTAAATTGTGACGATGATTGCGTTCTACTCTCCCATTTTATTGAGGTGTGTGCACACATGATGTTTCAAATATAATACCATGACCATCAAAATGATGAAGCATGCATCTAAATTCAGTATCACTATCACTACGAACAATTTTGACAGACGTATCAAACCGTTTTTCAATCATAGCAAGAAACGAGAGAAAAAATTTGTGAACCTCCTTTTTGTCACGTAATAAATACACCCAAACGGCTCGAGTGTAAGTGGCGTATCCAGTTATTGTTTTGAGTGGAGGCGGATTTTAATTATATATTCGCTCAAATATGTCACAAACAGTTGAATGCAATACGAGTTTTTGTAAAGATAGTTATAAATAAATAAAAATATTTGTTTGACAAAAACATGAAAATGTACTTAACAAATTTCAAAAATAAATTAGCCATAAAGTTTTTAATTTTTTAAAATATGTTAAAAAATAGATGACTGGAATAAGGGAAAAATGCAATTGCAAAATTATATCTAATTTTTTTTTACATTTAGCGAAAAATGCAATTGCAAAACTTTATAAATTAAACTACGTATGAGAAACTAAAATTGTAATGAAGTAGTTGAATCTTTCGAATTAGAGAAAAATTGATAGAATTATGCAAAGTCACTTAAAAGGATGATATGAAAAAAGGAGATAAAAACAAAAGATTTGGAAAATGCTGAGAGGGGGAGTCAAACCCCGGACCTTCGG